AAAGTGGATAAATGCTGCTCTTTGTGACCAACCACATAGGCAGCGGAAGTGTTTTGTATGGTAGGCAGATAGTTTCACATCAGCCAACATATCATCATTTTAAAATAATAGTCTACACTCTCTGAAAAGTATGTTGATCTACTGAAGAGGCAGTGAAAAAAACTCATACCATGAAAGCGGGGGTAGAGTTTAGTGGACCCCCACTTTAAAAAAAACGTACGAGAAAAAAATTGCTTCCCTAAAAAGTAAGAGGTTGGTTGGCTGAGAACGTATGAGGGTTCGAAATGCTTCGTGTCGTTGGAGAAATTGTATAGCAGCAGAGGCTACTGTTCACCACTGTAACGCCGCCCGACTGGCTACAGGGTAAACCATCAGGGAGGTGAAACAGGAGGAGGTCATCGCGGAAAACAGGGTCGAAAGGATGAAATGCCGGAGATGCGACCCTGTGGACTGCAGAGTCCAGCGACAAGCTGGCGAAAACTGAAGAACCAATGCGAGCATCACCAAGGAACGTGAAACCCATCGTCAGGATTGTAAAATGGAGAACTGAGAACGGCAATGATGACTGGACAGAGTAGGGGACGAAACACCGCTGCAGAGATCACTCTATAAAGGATAAAATAGACATATATGGAAAACAATTTAATATAAATGGAAGCGCCTCAAATACCAGGAGGACCCTTTTAAAAGTCCAAAAGAAGTGTGTTTGGTACGGAGATTGATAACAAAGGCTTTCTATCATCCGAAGTTAAATGTTTACGTAATTTGACTTCAAAAACTGCTACGGTAGACGACAGTCTAATTTTAAGGCGAATATTATTCCAGAGGAAGGCATATTTGGAGACGAAAAACGAGAATGGTTAGATTTGGAGTTAAAGGGGGAAAAATTATCACGGAGGAAATACGAGTGGCATTAAGTCGATCTACCGGAGTAATAGAAATGATCCCTGGGAGATAAGGGCTAGAGTTAATGTGAACTAGGAAGCAGAGGCCCGCTTCGAGTCTTCTAACCCAAAGAAATTGCATGATCGCTAACTGACATCTCTCCGCATAAGAAATAGTGGATCGAAGAAGAGCAAATATTTTTCGAATAAAAATGCTCTGAACATTTTCAACCTTACCGCGGTCAGAGGCATTCATCAGACCAAAGAGGGGACAGCAGTATTCTACGATGGGAAGAACAAACATGAGATAAAATTTTAACTTTATTTCCGGAAGGGAGAAATTCTGTGATATAAAACCACACATCTGTGCAGCCTTTGCAGAAATTCGATCTGCATGAGGAGATAATGCTAGTTTATTTCTGTAATTTAGACCTAAGTCCTTTTCGGTGGATCCTTCTAAAAGTGGGAATCGAACTAGGCCACTATCTTCCAGTAGACTGTGTTGTTTCCATTGAGCCACTTGCTCACGCTGAAACAGCTGACTTAAATTTACATGATGGAATAGGAACTAGGAGCAATTCTAGACATTCCATAATAGCGCCTCCTGTCAAAAGGACTAAAAGTCTAGCACGTTTGAGAGATGTCCATAACGATGATGAAGACTGCATATCATACCGTACCCTTCTTCATAAATTCTCCAATCTCGAGAGAGAGATGAATAGTCTGAAAATGGTAATGGAGCAGTTAAAAAAATCCCCTCGCGTTCTCCCCAAAGAGCATAAATTGGGAGTGGCTGAACTTGAGGGAGGTAACCTAACGTACGGAGAAGTGGCTTCCCTGGCCGAACTATCAAAGCGGAAAAATGACCGGTAATACATGGTGCTTTGGGGTACCAGTAGCCTGCCACGGACAATGAAACCGATCGCCCCGCAGGCTTCTCGAAAAACAAAGAAGCGTACTCAGATTCCCAAAAAAGAGAAAGTAAATCACACCGATAGCAAAAACAAGCCAAGCTTAGGTACGATTCAAGCAAAGAGAGCCCCATCGGAGGCTAAAAAGGACCGCAAGGTCTCAGCACGCGCGGAAACTAACATTGACTTTGTCCTAACAAACCCCAGTAGAGCAGAAGAGGACGACAGCCGGAGGGAGAGTACAATAATCTCTCAGGATAAGGCAACACAATAAGGCCCTCGGGTGAATCGTAGAAACTGCATGGTCATCAGAGGCATGACTTAAACTACTTCCGACACCCCGAAGTCAAGAATACAAAAGGACAGGAAATCATTTTAAGAATATTTGAAATCCTTCCTAAAGGGTGAGGAGAAAGTCAAAGTCCTAAAGGCATTCCGAATGGGCCGTATAACAGAATCAAAAGATGAAAAAAGCCAACCAAGACCGTTGAAGGTTGTCCTGAAGAGTGAGGTCGAGGCCCAGTTATTGTTGAGCAGAAAACCAATATTAAGATATTCCCACCCAACGGTTTTTTCAGCGGAGCGGGAGGAATGGAAATTGCTCAAAGTGGAACTCCCCAGGAGATGCGATCTCGATGAGAGTAATCTCCGAATAATGAACGGGAAAATCGTCCATGTCCAGAAGTCACTTTTCTGGAGAAAACCTAGTCGGGACGGACAACAGCCCGCCTCCATCAGCAGTGACAGGTTTCCGCATGCAATCTCATGCAAGAGGCAAACGCCTGCATAATGTGGTGACTTAGTCTAAATTGGGCTTTCTTTATACTAATGCCCAAAGTCTTCCTTCAAAAATCGGTGCACTGAAGACATTACTTTCAGACCGGAGACCTGATAATGATGCCATAACGGAAAAGTGGCTTAGAACGGAAATCGCGGATTCGGAGATTTCGATACAAGGATACCAGCTTTTCCGCAAAGACCGTCAAAACAGAAAAGGTGGTGGGGTTGCAGTATAAGTCAGAAGAGGAATCTCCGTTGGCAAACGAGAGCACACCCTAGCTCTGGAGTATGAATCCATCCGGATAAAGATAAAGATGTTTAATCCACAGAACCTAGCATTCTTGGCCGTATACAGGCCAACAAACATTCTGAGTGCAGCTGACGACTCGCTCCTTAGTGTGTTGAAGGAAGCAGCTAGCCACCAAGAGTTTCTTCTTGATTGTGATTTCAACGCACCTGCAATAGACTGGTAAAATCTGACAATGGAGGAGGCGCCAACTTCCTTCAGTTCTAAGTTAATAGAACTCATACTTGACCTCCCTCTGGCACATAATGTTAAGTCACTAGCTATATTTCGAGAGAACCAGAGAGCTAGCTGCTTGGACCTAATTTTTACGAGGGATTTATTCTACATTGATGAGGTGCATTCAAGTGCCCCATTCGGTAAGAGTAAGCATACGACGCTAGTGTGGGATTTCTCACTCAATTCTCAACGTCTGAGGAAAACGGAGGGCCAGCCAAATATATGGAAGGCAGATATTAGTTCGATGAAAAATGCACTATCGTCCGTGAATTGGGACTGTCTGCTCAAGGGGGATCCGGAGAACGACTGGAGGTCGCTTAAGACGATTGCATTAGATCTGATTAAGCGCTGTTGTCCGGTGAGGCTACACAAGACGAGTAGTTACCCTGCCTGGTTGACGAGAAACCTTAGCAGGCAATTAAAGAAGAAAAATAAGAAGTGGAAGTTATTCAGGGAAACCGGGTGCCTGCGCGGCGTGAACCTGCACACAGGCGTGCTAGCACACGATGCATACGTTGCTTTTATTAATGACGTGCATACCCACTACTGCCTGCCATGCTTGATTTGTTCACCAATTCGTCCAGCAAACATACCGCTTAGTCCGTCTTAGGGGCAAAAGTCGGCGGTTGTAACTCGTCATGCGACGTATGCGTACTCGTGAGATGTATCCACGTGCAGTCAATTAGTCAAGGCCAAAGTGCTGTCGTAACTCTATGAGACTGAAGCATGTCTGGAAAAGACGGATAAAGGACAAGATAGGTTGGGCGAAATACAGTTTATAGGTAGAATCAGATGGTCTCTGTTGTTGTTCTTCTTCTGTTTAAAAACGCAGCAATGCATTTATCATGTTTCGGGTTTCGATATAACACTTTTGCTTCCTTCTTCAATACGATGGGAAAGCAGTATGTTGCGGTTGCGCCCACTTTTTCTGCTGTCCTGCTTTTTCAACCCTTTGGGTTTATATTAGGCACTTTACTTATGGTTATGCTGTTACACCCTTCCGATATTATTTCAAGCGTGTTTATTTTTTTGGAACTCTCTGTCTACATCCGTTGTCGTGACGCTGCTCCATATCCGTTTCAGATATGTCACCTTTCCAGCTCATAATATAGTGAATGATACTGGTTCAATGCAATATATTTAGCATAAAAGACAACAGCTTATATTTCAGACTACGCACAAAATTCGTACCCTGTGTCTCTTCGAGAACTTTCGAGGGCATCTAACCTGATTTGCTTTTGTTTTAACTTTTGAACTACGTTCAAAGGTAGTGGGCTGGCCTTTTGGGTCTGTCTCATCTTGCCTTCCGTTCGTCCATTCCGGTAAGTCCGCAATTTACTGTCTTTGCATACAAAGTTTGTTATTACAGTTTGTTAAATGGCTATCCCAGACATTGTCAGCATGAGCAACGGAAATCACCGCGATATAAAAGTGGAAGATGAAGATAATCAACCCTTGGCGGACAAGTTCAGGGCTAAACGCCACTATTCAGATTCAAGTGATGAGGATGACATCCCCCTGTCACAAAAGTAACGGCTCACCACTTACTCTACTCTTTTAGAATGGAGACAGTTAAGAAGAGACTATCTGCGACTCACTCACCGCAACTACCGGTTAGTCCTAGTGTGTTTTTTTTCATTTTGGCAGGAAAAACGCCGGAAGTACGAAAATAATGATGTCAAATATAAACTCCAGTCCCAAGAAGGCTTTCAAAAAGCGAAGATCAACGTTAAATCGGAGCCATCCACTCCTCAAAAGAAACCCAAAAACGAAGAGGCAGAGCACGTATGGAAATGGTGGGAAGAGGAGAAAAAAGACGATCGCGTTAAGTGGACCTTCCTAGAACACAAGGGACCCATGTTTGCACCTCCATATGAGCCACTCCCTCCCAGCGTTCGTTTTTCTTACGACGGTGTCCAAATGCGTCTATCTCCCGAGGCGGAGGAGGTGGCTGGGTTTTACGCACGAATGCTTGACCATGATTACACTAGTAAGGAGATATTCAACACCAACTTTTTCCGCGATTGGCAGAAGGTACTGCAAGTATCTTTGATTACTCCTTCAGACAATGACTGAAGAGGAAAGGAGAGTAATAAGGCGGCTTGACAAATGTGACTTCAGACCTATGTTTGAATACTTCAAGGAAAAAACCGAAGAACGAAAGAATATGCCTAAGGAAGAAAAACAAAAAATAAAACAGGCTAACCAGGCTATTGCAGACGAATATGGATTCTGCACATTAGATGGACACAAACAGAGGATTGCAAACTTTAAAATAGAACCCCCGGGCCTATTTCGCGGACGTGGGGATCATCCAAAGATGGGCATGCTTAAAAAGCGAATTATGCCAGAGGATATTATTATTAATTGTTCGAAAGACTCCAGAATTCCCCCTCCTCCACCTGGTCATAGGTGGAAGGAAGTGCGCCACGATAATACTGTTACATGGCTGGCCTGTTGGATAGAGAACATACAAAGTAATTTTAAGTACATAATGTTGAACGCGTCTTCCAGACTGAAGGTAAGGTTATTTGGTAAGCTACATTTTCTCAGGGAGAGAAAGACTGGAAAAAGTATGAAACTGCGCGCAAGTTACACAAATTTGTGGACAAAATCCGTGCGGATTATCGGACTGATTTCAAAAGCAAGGAAATGCGTATCCGACAGAGGGCAGTAGCCCTATATTTCATTGATAAGGTAGTCTATTCGTTTCTAGGTTAAAGTTTTTCCCTTACCCAATTCTTAAAAACTTGTTTAGCGTTCTAATATGTATGTGTGCTTTCATCGATGACCTGGGCTTCATGTCATCAACCACCATATTATTTTCGACCTGTCAAATTGTCTTGGTCGGCTAAGTAGATGCCTTGATTATCTGCCAGCTCTTCCTCATTTGCATTGAATGAAGACGACTATCCATGATAGCTATTTGAGTTCCCAATTTCCGACTTGTTTCTCAACTTGGCTTATCTAAGTTCTAAGGTTGTTTGCTGCAATGTCCTACGCATGCGCATTTTTAGTCGTTACAAGTGCAATTGCTTCAGCCCTCCAACGATCTTTTTTAGCTTGCTCTGCGTGCGGGTAACGAAAAAGATGAAGATGAAGCAGATACCGTGGGCTGCTGTTCTCTAAGGTGTGAGCATGTCACCCTACACGAAGAGCTTGATGGAAAACCCTTTGTTGTTGAATTTGATTTTCTTGGAAAGGATTCCATCCGGTATCAGAATTCCGTTCCTGTCCCGAAACGAGTCTTCAAAAATCTGAAATTATTTATGAAAAACAAGCAAGGGAGCGATGACCTCTTTGACCGTCTAAATGTAAGTCTTCTGGTGCTCTCGACTCATGCCTTTTATCAATAGACTTCGATTCTGAACCAATATCTCCGAGAGCTCATGGACGGTCTCACTGCGAAGGTTTTTCGTACGTACAATGCTAGTAGAACGTTGGAAGAACAGCTAGCATTATTGACAAATCCAGATGACTCCGTAGCTGCGAAGCTCTTGTCTTACAATCGTGCCAATAGAGCTGTTGCCGTCCTTTGTAACCATCAGCGTGCAGTCCCGAAGACGTTCGCAAAATCCATGGAAAATCTTCAAAAAAAGGTAACTTCCATATAAA